TGTTTACAAGTTGTCTTGCCTTAAGTCAGTGTGTATTTATTTTATACTTTTAAGCAGGTAACAGTAATGTGATTTCTCTACCACCATACTAACTGTGGTTCTATTAAAATGAGTTTTCTATATTTAAAGTGAAATCGTATACTTTCTTTATATAATTCCAGTTCCCGTATTTCTCATTTCTTTGTTTCACATAGAATATGAATAATTTAGGAGTGAGAAAGGCATCTCCCTCTACATCTCTGTTGTTTCACCCTTGATTCAGTTCCCCAGGGACCCTTTGGAGAAAGTCAGGATAGAGGAAACAAGAAGGAATGGGTGAAGTGTGAACGAGTTTGCCACTCTCCAACCCCTTGGACTCCCAGCTCAGGTGGAAGATTTTCTCCACTGGTGTGTTTCTGTTCCATCATGGCAAAATGTGGCCTATTCTTACAGGATTCCACGTAGAGGGGCTAATACATGAATTAGCTATTCAGTGGAGAAACATCTGGCATGGGAGAAAATGATAGCTAGATCTGCTATTGCTATTTTTAAAAAATAAAATCCAAGACTTAGAAATACTCAGCTAGTCCCCAAACACACCACAGCCCAAACACTGTATGTGCACTAACAGGCACATAAGCACACATGCGTGTGGCCATCCCTGCAGCCACCAAAGCTTCACTCCTTTCTCGAGACTTCCTTATAAACCTCTCAGTCTTTATGTCTTTATTTGTCCTAGTGTGGCTTATTTTTCACCCCAAGGATACTTCTGATGAGCATTTAAATTTTCCCTTGTGTAAAGTCATTTCTGATAAAGAAAAAAGGAAGGCGTATCTAGTATGACTTTCCCATGACAGTACTGAATCTTAAGCTCCTATAAATGAATATACTCTTGCATTGGCATCTGCTTGCACATGTAACTAGAATCTCATTTATGTAACTTCATGCATAATAAATTGTGATATTAGCATTATGTGTCAGTTTCTATGGAATTTGAAACATTTTTCTATGAAGGATGCTCTCAAATCAATGAGAAGTTAAAAATTCTAAACTTAAATTTCATTTTAAATTAGAATCCAAATTCGACTATGTATCTTTTTCAACATTTGTCTGAGTTATAAAATATATATCATGCAGAGTACAAATTTTTCAATCACCCATGAATTTTTTGTGTTACCAGTTCAGTTGCACACAATTGCTGCCAAAGCCTCTTTGACCAAATTTAGCTGCCACATTCACCTTCCACTTCTCCCTTTCTCACACCCTCACCATCTTTTGGTATATCTTGATGAGTGCTCTTGAACCTTCTGTAGCAGCCATTTCAGGTAAAACAGAGATCAGGGAAGCAGATAAGCCCATAAATAATTTGATAATACGGACTTTTGAGTGAAGTAGGAATATAGATGTGTCTAGGTAGGTAGGTAGGTAGATGGATAGATGTATAGATATTATTAATTTGCTTGGGAGGTTTATATAAAATAGTCTCTAAAAGTGCATGGAGGAGTCAGCCTCCTTTGTTCACACCTACCGACCTCCCACCCTATACCCTTTTCCAGTAAAAATGTAAAGTCACAACACTAGTAAGTAGTTATCCATATATAAACACGTGGTGGGGAACCTGCGGCTCTGGAGCCCCATGTGGGCCTTCCAGAATCTTGAGTATGGCCTTTTGACTGAATCCAAATTTTACAGAACAAATTCTTTTAATAAAGGGATTTGTTTTGTGAGTTTGGATTCTGTCAAGGGGCCACACTTGGGGATCAGGAGGGCCACATGTGGCCTTGAGGCCACAGGTTCCCCAAGTGGACAGCTTAAAGATCTACTCTAACATTGTTTTTATGGAAGAGGAAGTTATTACTAAAAGAAGTTATTTGTCTGGGACAGAGCTGGGACTAAACTGTTCCGGAGGATTCACTTAAACATTAAAAAATACTTCTTTCCTTGGTGGGGTATTTATATTAATGAATCAAAGTGTTTTAAATGTCACAACATTCCTTAGAAAAGTTTCATTGATTTGGTTCTATTCACAGACTGTTCGTGATATTTTATGTGTTTTATCGACAAACACTTATCTAAGGTAATTATATAATAGTTTCTAAAACATACTATATTTGATTACTAAATAACTTACTGTAATGTTTTTCAAATGAATATACATTAAGCTTCAGCATTGTGATTGTGAGAGGAGATACGAACCAAACTTAGATGTTGTATTCAAAAAAAACTATTGTTTTTATGGATTTCTTTTGTGTATTTGGACTTGTTTTGGAAATATTTATATTTGTGAACTAACTCAAAGTTTAAGTTGATTTAGTTTAATTCTAATGTAGCACTAGAGTTTAACATCAGTAAACAAAAGTAAGCTAAAGTTTTATTTTGGCCTTTTTTTAACTTTCTGAGAAAGCATAATTATTTGTTTTTCTGAATAGTTTTGAAATATTTTTCTACATTTATTGTTAAAACTATTTATTGTATCACATTTGTTGATAGTTTTGGTAAAGTCACTAGAATTAAGGCATAAATAGATGCCAGCAAAATATAACATGACTCATATAAATCACATAAATTGCCATAGGACACAAGAAGTAAATTATAAAGAAAACTTTCTTTAAGGAAAATCTTATCTCAAATTACATTTTATATTTGTAGATATGTTATTTGATTTTATTTCATGACTTTTATCCTTTAGAACGGTTTTAGATTTATAGAATAACTGTGAAGATAGTACAAAGAGTTTCCATGACCTTCATATGTACACCATGCATGCATTTTTAATAAACAGTTTTGTCAGAAGAGCTACTTAAGACCTTAGGTGCATTTGTTGAAATCATTTCCCATATAGGGGGGATAATAGATCCATTCTATGTTGTTCTAGTCAGGCAGAGCCCAGGGGAATATGTCTTGACATTCTAAAGAGAGTGTATTTAGAACCCTGAAAATCATTTACATAAGGAATATGTGAAGGGACTTGGAATATTTAACAGAATAATAGAAGATTGAGGAGTACATGGCAGCTGTCTTCATTTATTTGAGAGGGTATAATCTGGAAGAGGACATACTAAGGGGGCCAATGGGTAGAAGATTCTTAGCTCAGGATAAGAAAGTCTTTCTTATTGATCACATATCTGAAAGTGACAACCTTGGGGAAGTAGGGGTCCTTTAAATCACACACAAAAAATACTGTACATGCTTGTAGTAGTGCACTAAACAACTCATCAAGAAGAGGGAATGTTCCACTCCCTTAGATCTACTCCTCAGAGATACTGATTTTAAGCAGCTTTGTATGTATCATTATAGAAAACACATACAGAAAAACAACACTTTTTTAAAAAATGAAATCTAATATTCTTATTATTCTGTAACTTGTTACTTATATTCAAGTGTTTCTTGAGCATCTGCCTTGATCTTCCTCATATTTTTTAATGTCTCTTAGGGTTTTATTGTTCACCATTGTGAGTGACCACCATGTATTTAGCCATTCCCATGTCAATATTTAGATTATATTTAACTTTTACCATAACAACCGATGTTATAAGTAATGAACATCCCTCTATACATATCTTTGCACACTTATTCTAGTCTTTCTATAACATAGAATATTTAAACTGGGACTGCTAGATCATAATTT